ATATTGTTCCTACATGTTGTCCCTACGTCGCCTTGGTGTCATTATATATATATAAACTGCAGTAATTTTGTTATTGTCGTCAGATGACAGTTGTATGTGCCCAAATTAGTAAAATTTTTAATTTTTTTTTGTTTCCGATATGAAATTGTACAACGCGATGTAGATTTTTGTGCGTACTTTAATTCTAGACCAAAAACTTGCAATTTTGTAAAGCCAATTCAAAAATTCCTTAAAATGAAAAAATGTCGGTAACTACCGCCACTATAGGATCCCCTTAATTGTTAAAACGATGTTAACGAGCAATTTTGTGGGATTTCTCAAAAATCCGAGATCATAATCTCTTCTATCAAAACCTTTAGCTGAACTTAGACTTTTGCTTCCTCATAGAAAAAGCTTTGTTTTCGTACAAAAAAATTTTTTCTTGTTTTTCTGAACGTGTTCAGAATGTTCTAAAACGTCGAAAAATTGTAATTGAAAAAAATGTCTGTATGTATGTATGTGTGTGTATGTGTGTATGTGCCAAATTTACCGAAATTTCTATAACTCCAGAACTAATCAACCAAATCTTAACGAACTATATATGAAATAGGGGTAGAAAAAACTGAAGAATATAATAGAATTAATAAAAATTGCTAATAATCAATAATCAAAAGGGATTCTTTTTTTTTATTTAAATTTTGAATTTTTTTAAAAATGTCCATGGTTGCTCTAACTTCCGCAAATTTGGAGATATCGATCAATTTTTCATTTTATTATATTATTATTTTTCAGTCTTTTCTACCGCTACTTCATATATAATTTTTTAACATTTGGTTGATTAGATCCAGCTTTATACGCGATCAAAGGTCCATAATTTTGCTCGCATATAAAGCTAGAGCATATAAAGCTCGCATATAAAACTAATTAACCGAATTTAAAAGAATTATATATGAAATAGGGGTAGAAAAGCCTGAAGTAAAAATTGTTTTTTGAGTTTTCGATGTCAATGTGTTGCTTATGTTCGAAAACGTCGAAAAATCGTAGACTATCATTAAAGGTAGGTTGGTGTTGAATTATCTTTTTTTTTCTATTTTATATATAATTCTTTAAGGCCGGTATTCATAGTCGGGTCTTATATTCAAGATCGTCTTAAGTATAGTCTTAAGGCGTCATCAGCCAATCAGAGGGCCGTATTAGCATCTTAAGACATCACTTCCTCTATGAGGAAGCCAAGTGCAAATTTCTAATTTTTTACCATTCAACGTCGAATTTTTAGAAAATCCTTTATTTGTGACAAAGTAACAATCCTCTGAATATCGACTTGGGGTGCGATCCACTAGACTAGATCGCTTCAAACACTTCAGAGTATATATTAGAGACTCTATAATAAAAGATTGGCCATAATTAGGGTCTCTACATAGTATCATTTTGTTCTTGTTTAACATTTGATAAACAACAGGATGAAATGTTTCCAAGAGCATTTTGAGCACCAAGTGGACCGCATCCCTGGTCAGCAGTCATCCCAAATACTATTGATCCCGCCCCTCCTTTGGGATGCGATTCCTTTTCTAACAGATCGAGACATACCTACCAGTCTTTAACAACCTTACGCACTACCTTAACAGCAGAGCATCTTTGGAATGATTCCTAAGGCAAAAAAATATTTTTGAATGGAGGGAAAATTAGCTGGCAAGTACAATTCATCCTGAGCATTTCATACATTTTATTGTTGTCTGAAATTGTTTATATATATATATATATTGGCGTCAGAAATTTTTTCTTTATAAAAATATTTAATTCTTTCTTACAAGTATAAACCTCAGAGAAGGTTCCGATTTTTTTCACATTTTTTACAGTTATTTCTTATATCAAAATATAACAAAAATCTGTCATTACATTCAGCTCAAATTAATTTTTTAATTTTATACAAGTACACGACTTTACACGTGTTTAATACAATATTTTTTAAGAATAAATGTACCCGAAGTTTTGTAACTCGACACACATATAGAACATTAAAATAGTATATAGTTTAATTATTTTTTTCCACGTCTTGAAATAAGATGCGACTATGAATTCTCTCTATCTTTAATTTCTTGTTCCTTATTCCTCTCATTGTGTATGAGCCCTTAAACTATTATTTTCAGTGTTTTATATGTGTGCCGAGTTATAAAAATTCGGGTATATTTGTTCGTAAAAAAATACTGATTTAAACACGTGTAAAATCATATAAATGTGTAAAATTTAAAAAATTATAAAAAATGAAAAAATCTGAGCTGAAAAGTAATGACAGTTGCTTCCTCATAGAAGAAGCTTTGTGATAGTAAAAAAAAATTTTTTTCGAGATTTAAAAAAAAATAGATTTAGAATGTTCTAAAATGGAGAAATCATATTAGTAGAAAATGTCCGGAAGTATGTAAGTATTTATGTGTGTGTGTGTACGGATTTTTTGTACACGCATCTACTTCTACAATTTTTTAGATACCGGGTTGAAGTTTTGGACACAAATAGAGTATCATAGAAAGTATGTTCTCCTCCAATTTTATTAAAATCCGTCGACAGGTATGGAATATGGATTTTAAGGGGATTTTTATTTTTCAAAAAAGCGTGCTTTACGCTATAGCTTTCTCAATATTTGAGATATCGATTTATTTCTAATTCTATTATATTTTTCAGTTTTTTTCTACCCTTATTTCATATATAATTCTTTAAAATTTAATTAATCAGTTCTTGACGTGTGTGAAGTTGGCCCCGCACTTTTTGAATTCTGTATTTTTAATAATTGTGCTACATTGTGCTACGTTTGTGCTATATTGTGTCGCAAACCGCAACTCTGTAACTCAAAGCGTACTCGAGAAAATTAAAAAAAAACAAAATTTTTGATAGCCCCGCACTTTTCGAATTTTCAGTTTTTTCTTATTGTGCCGTATTGTGCTGTATTTGTGCTGACTTGTGCCGCAAACGCGAGATTGATAACTTTGATAACAATTAAAAAAAAAAAAAAAGAAATTAAACTAGCCCCGCACTTTTCCCGAAATAAACCCAATTTTTTTGGTTGATAGGTAGTAATTTGTGCCACGTTGTGCCGTTGGAATAAACTCGATATCTCTTTTCATTTGGCAGATAAAAAATATTAAATCTCAAAAACAAAATAACAAATAATTATTTTTAAAACGCATTTACCGAACTTCTGTAAGTGCTGAGTTTCGCTAGATGAGTACAACAAAGAAATGGTCGGAAATGCATAGAAAGTTGTAGGGGTTGAAAATAATGGGCTAAGGGAGGGGGGGAAATGAGGGTGAGAAAAACACTATACATTTTTAAATTTTGTAAAATTGTGCCGGGTTGTGCTCGGTGAGTACAATAACTTTTCCTAATGACAAAATGTCCACAAATTGTAAGTTTACGCAGCACAAGTATCTAAAGAAAGCAGTTTTTAAGAATTACAATTTTTAAACCGCTATAACTTTTGAACCGTGACAGGGAATGATGCGATTTGTGCTGAATTTTGCTAGTCGAGCACAACAAGAAAACGGCTAGAAAAGAATCGAAAGTTGCAGGGGTTAAAAATAATGAGCCGTTCTCAACCCGCATGTGTTACACACCCTATTTTATATTAATACAAAGTGCGTGGAAAGTGGCCTATTGCGCGCGCGTCATCTGTGCGACGGATGGCCGATTCCGCACGCGCGAGAGATTTCTCATTCTTGCACGGGTTCGATTGGGGAATTTCTCGCGTGGGAAATTGGCTATTTGTCACACAGATGGCGCGCGCGGAATGGGCCACTTTCCACGACCTCAACAAAGTTAGCCCCCCCAAGTGGATTATTGATATACTTTTTTTTACCAATCGTTTGGTGGTTGATTGGTAGTATTTGGTACCGTATTCAAAACGTTCGGTAGTTTCTCGTTTT